GATGTTCGCTTTGTTGGAATATGGGGTATGGGTGGAATAGGCAAAACAACCATTGCCAGAGCTGTTTATGAGGAAATCGCTTGTCAATTTGAAGCTTACTGCTTTCTTGAAAATGTCAAGGAAGGTTTCTCCAGGCATGGTGCGGTACATATGCAGGAAGAGCTTTTATCCAGAATCTTGAAGGAAAAGGTGCGAAGTTTAGGAACTTTGGACAAAGGGTCCAAGATGATAAGGAAAAGACTAGCTAAGAAAAAAGTTTTCCTTGTTCTTGATGATGTGGACAATATAGTCCAAGTTGAAGGCTTACTAGGAAAGCAACGCTCATTTGGCTGCGGAAGTAGAATTATTATAACAACACGAGATGTGCAATTACTAAGCGGAGTTGATGCAATATATAGGCCCCAGTTTTTAAGTGACGATGAGGCTGTTGACCTCTTTATGCAATATGCCTTCAGAACAAACCAACCCACAAGAGACTACAATCATCTCACATGCCACGCCATAGAATATGCTCAAGGTTTGCCTTTAGCCCTCAAAGTCTTGGGGGCTTTTCTTGATAACAAAAGTGTACGCGAGTGGGAAGATGTGTTAGAGAAGATAAGGAAAATCCCACACATGGGAATTCAGGATGTGCTTAGAACAAGTTTTGATGGGCTGGATGATTCAGAGAAGGACATTTTTTTGGACATTGCTTGTTTCTTTAAAGGAATGGGAAAAGATTATGTAACAAAAATCCTGGACGGTTGTGGCTTCTATCCTCATAGTGGGTTAAGAGTTCTAATTGATAGAGGTCTCGTAACAATCTCGTGTTATGGTACACTCGAGATGCATGATTTACTAGCAGAAATGGGTTGGGAAATTGTCCCCCAAGAATCTATTAAAGATCCCGGGAGATGCAGTAGGCTGTGGAGTTATGAAGATGTTCATCCCGTGTTAACTCAAAATACAGTAAGATACAATCATCCATACTGTCCTTTTCATATGCAATTAGTATAGAAACATGTATTTATTTTATATACGTAATTATATGGTTACGGCCTTATGGGTATTTGCACTTACTTAAATTCCATCATTCTCTATCCAGGCTACAAAAGCTATTGAGAGCATAGTCCTGGACTTGTCAAACAAATCAGAAGAAGTATACTTAAATGCTGAAGCTTTTGTTGGAATGACAAGGCTAAGACTGCTACGTATCGAATATCATAACCACTCTATATACTATGATGACGAAGACCTTTCCTGTGAGGAACTTTGCCATGCAGGACATGATTTCATACAACACCTGAGTGGGGACTTAAAATATCTTTCTCATGAGTTGAGGTGTCTCTTTTGGCATGGATGCCCCCTAAATTCTTTGCCATCCAATTTTCACCCCAACAACCTAGTTGACCTTGACATGCAATATAGTAACATCCAACAACTTTGGGAAGGAACCAAGGTACAATCATCTTTTTCATATTTTTCTTTAAAATTGGCAAATTTCTCATATGCTTTGTTATGTAATCCATGTTTTCCTGGATATTTGAACAGCGTTTGAAAAGGTTGAAGTTCATCAATTTAAGCCACTCACAGTATCTTGAAAGAACCCCTGACTTCACTGAGGCGAAAAATCTGGAGACCTTATTCCTGGAAGGTTGTGAGAGTTTATTTGAGGTTCATCCATCCATTTCATCTCTTCAAAACCTTGATGTTTTGAGTCTAAAAGGGTGCAAAGAACTGAGGAAATTTCCAAGCAGCATTCGTATGAAATCTCTTACAAGCCTTATTCTTTCCGGCTGCTCAAATTTTGAGAAGTTTCCGGATATTTCAGAAGTTATGGAGAATCTATCAGTGCTTCTTTTAGACGAGACTGCAATTAAAGAACTGCCTTCATCAATCAAATATCTTACAGGGCTAGTTTCTTTAGACTTAAGAGGTTGCAAAAGACTTCAGGGTCTTCCAAGCAGCATTTATTTGAGATCTCTCAAATATCTTAATCTTTCTGGCTGCTCAAATTTGCTGAAGTTCCCAGAGATTTCAGAAGTTAGGAAGCAACTTTCAGAGCTTTATTTAGATGAGACTGCAATTAGAAAACTGCCTTCATCAATTAAAAATCTTACTGGGCTCATTACTTTGCACCTTACCGGCTGCCTAGAGCTCAAAAGTCTTCCCAGCAGCATCTGCCAACTCGAGTCCCTTAGATATATTACTCTATCTGGCAGCTCAAAATTTGAGAAGTTTCCAGAGATCTCAGACATCATGAAGGAACTCTCAGAGCTTCACTTAGATGGGACTGCAATTAAAGAACTGCCCTCGTCAATGAAAAATCTTACGGGGCTTGTTACTTTGAACTTAAAAGATTGCCTAGAGCTTCAAAGTCTTCCAAGCAGTATCTGCCAACTCAAGTCCCTAAAAAGTATTACTCTTCATGGCTGTAAACATCTCAATAAGTTTCCAGATATTTTAAAAGGTATGAAGTCGCTTTCAGAGCTTTATTTAGATGAAACTACAATTAGAAGACTGCCTTCATCAATTAAATATCTTACTGGGCTCGTTACTTTGCACCTTACTAGCTGCCTAGAGCTTACAAGTCTTCCAAGCGGCTTCTGCCAACTCAAGTCCCTTAGATATGTTACTCTATCTGGCTGCTCAAAATTTGAGAAGTTTCCAGAGATCTCAGATGTTATGAAGGAACTCTCAGAGCTTCATTTAGATGGGACTGCAATTAAAGAACTGCCCTCGTCAATTAAGAATCTTACGGGGCTTGTTAGTTTGAACTTAAAAGATTGCGTGGAGCTTCAAAGTCTTCCAAGCAGCATCTGCCAACTCAAATCCCTAAAAGATGTTACTCTTTATGGCTGTAAAAGTCTCAAGATGTTTCCAGAGATTTTAGAAGTTATTAAGAATCTTTCAGAACTTTGTTTGGATTACACTGCAGTTAGAGATTTGCCCATTTCAATTAAAAATCTTACAGGACTTCGTACTTTAGACCTAAAGGGCTGCCTACAACTTAAAAGTCTTCCAAGTAGCATCTCCCAACTCAAGTCCCTTAGATGTGTTACTCTCTCTGGCTGCAAAAATCTTGAGAAGTTTCCAGAAATTTCAGTATCTATGAAGCAGCTTTCAGAGCTTTATCTGGATGAGACTGCAATTGAAGAATTGCCATCGTCGATAAAACATCTTACGGGGCTCAAAACTTTGAGCCTAAAAGGATGCTTGAAGCTTAAAATTCTGCCATGCAGTATCTGTCAACTCAAGTCCCTGAGATATTTTACTCTTTCTGGCTGCTCAAATCTTGAGAAGTTTCCAGAGATTTTAGAAGTTATGGAAGAACTCTGGTACCTTTATTTAGATGGGACTGCAATTATGGAACTACCCTCGTCAATTGAAAATCTTACCGGGCTGAATACTTTGAAGCTAAATGGTTGTCTAGGGCTTCATAGTCTTCCAAGCAGCATCTGCCAACTCAAGTCTCTTAGAAATGTTTCTCTTTCTGGCTGCTCAAGTTTTGAGAAGTTTCCTGAGATTTCAAAAGTTACAGAAGGGTTCACTTACCTTTGTTTAGATAAGACAGCAATTAAAGAACTTCCCTCATCAATTATAAATCTTTCTGGGGTCGAATCTTTGAACCTAGAAGGTTGCCAAGGCCTTAAAAGTCTTCCATGCAGCATCTGGGAACTCAAGTGCCTTAGAGATGTCAATCTTTCTTGCTGCTCAAATTTTCAGAAGTTTCCAGAGATTTCAATGGTTGTGAAGGGGTTATCGAGTCTTCATTTGAATGGTACTGCAATTGAAGAATTGCCGTCGTCAATTAAAAATCTTACGGAGCTTGTTACTTTGGACTTAAAGTGTTGCGTGAAGCTTAAAAGTCTTCCAAGCAGTATCTGTCAACTCAAGTCCCTTAGATATGTTACTCTTTCTGGCTGCTCAAATCTTGAGAAGTTTCCAGAGATTTTAGAAGTTATGGAAGAACTCTGGTGCCTTTATTTAGATGGGACTGCAATTAAGGAACTACCCTCGTCAATTGGAAATCTTTCCGGGCTGAATACTTTGAAGCTAAATGGTTGTCTAAGGCTTCAAAGTCTTCCAAGCAGCATCTGCCAACTCAAGTCTCTTAGAAATGTTTCTCTTTCTGGCTGCTCAAGTTTTGAGAAGTTTCCTGAGATTTCAAAAGTTACAGAAGGGTTCACTTACCTTTGTTTAGATAAGACAGCAATTAAAGAACTTCCCTCATCAATTATAAATCTTTCTGGGGTCGAATCTTTGAACCTAGAAGGTTGCCAAGGTCTTAAAAGTCTTCCATGTGGCATCTGGGAACTCAAGTGCCTTAGAGATGTCAATCTTTCTTGCTGCTCAAATTTTCAGAAGTTTCCAGAGATTTCAATGGTTGTGAAGGGGTTATGGAGTCTTCGTTTAAATGGGACTGCAATTGAAGAATTGCCGTCGTCAATTAAAAATCTTACAGAGCTTGTTACTTTGGACTTAAAGGGTTGCGTGAAGCTTAAAAGTCTTCCAAGCAGTATCTGTCAACTCAAGTCCCTTAGATATGTTACTCTTTCTGGCTGCTCAAATCTTGAGAAGTTTCCAGAGATTTTAGAAGTTATGGAAGAGCTCTGGTGCCTTTATTTAGATGGGACTGCAATTCAGGAACTACCCTCGTCAATTGAAAATCTTTCCGGGCTGAATACTTTGAAGCTAAATGGTTGTCTAAGGCTTCAAAGTCTTCCAAGCAGCATCTGCCAACTCAAGTCTCTTAGAAATGTTTCTCTTTCTGGCTGCTCAAGTTTTGAGAAGTTTCCTGAGATTTCAAAAGTTACAGAAGGGTTCACTTACCTTTGTTTAGATAAGACAGCAATTAAAGAACTTCCCTCATCAATTATAAATCTTTCCGGGTCGAATCTTTGAACCTAGAAGGTTGCCGAGGTCTTAAAAGTCTTCCATGTGGCATCTGGGAACTCAAGTGCCTTAGAGATGTCAATCTTTCTCGCTGCTCAAATTTTCAGAAGTTTCCAGAGATTTCAATGGTTGTGAAGGGGTTATGGAGTCTTCGTTTAAATGGGACTGCAATTGAAGAATTGCCGTCGTCAATTAAAAATCTTACAGAGCTTGTTACTTTGGACTTGAAAGGTTGCGTGAAGCTTAAAAGTCTCCCGAGCAGTATCTGTCAACTCAAGTCCCTTAGATATGTTACTCTTTCTGGCTGCTCAAATCTTGAGAAGTTTCCAGAGATTTTAGAAGTTATGGAAGAGCTCTGGTGCCTTTATTTAGATGGGACTGCAATTCAGGAACTACCCTCGTCAATTGAAAATCTTTCCGGGCTGAATACTTTGAAGCTAAATGGTTGTCTAAGGCTTCAAAGTCTTCCAAGCAGCATCTGCCAACTCAAGTCTCTTAGAAATGTTTCTCTTTCTGGCTGCTCAAGTTTTGAGAAGTTTCCTGAGATTTCAAAAGTTACAGAAGGGTTCACTTACCTTTGTTTAGATAAGACAGCAATTAAAGAACTTCCCTCATCAATTATAAATCTTTCCGGGGGTCGAATCTTTGAACCTAGAAGGTTGCCGAGGTCTTAAAAGTCTTCCATGTGGCATCTGGGAACTCAAGTGCCTTAGAGATGTCAATCTTTCTCGCTGCTCAAATTTTCAGAAGTTTCCAGAGATTTCAATGGTTGTGAAGGGGTTATGGAGTCTTCGTTTAAATGGGACTGCAATTGAAGAATTGCCGTCGTCAATTAAAAAATCTTACAGAGCTTGTTACTTTGGACTTGAAAGGTTGCGTGAAGCTTAAAAGTCTCCCGAGCAGTATCTGTCAAACTCAAGTCCCTTAGATATGTTACTCTTTCTGGCTGCTCAAATCTTGAGAAGTTTCCAGAGATTTTAGAAGTTATGGAAGAGCTCTGGTGCCTTTATTTAGATGGGACTGCAATTCAGGAACTACCCTCGTCAATTGAAAATCTTTCCGGGCTGAATACTTTGAAGCTAAATGGTTGTCTAAGGCTTCAAAGTCTTCCAAGCAGCATCTGCCAACTCAAGTCTCTTAGAAATGTTTCTCTTTCTGGCTGCTCAAGTTTTGAGAAGTTTCCTGAGATTTCAAAAGTTACAGAAGGGTTCACTTACCTTTGTTTAGATAAGACAGCAATTAAAGAACTTCCCTCATCAATTATAAATCTTTCCGGGGTCGAATCTTTGAACCTAGAAGGTTGCCGAGGTCTTAAAAGTCTTCCATGTGGCATCTGGGAACTCAAGTGCCTTAGAGATGTCAATCTTTCTCGCTGCTCAAATTTTCAGAAGTTTCCAGAGATTTCAAATGGTTGTGAAGGGGTTATGGAGTCTTCGTTTAAATGGGACTGCAATTGAAGAATTGCCGTCGTCAATTAAAAATCTTACAGAGCTTGTTACTTTGGACTTGAAAGGTTGCGTGAAGCTTAAAAGTCTCCCGAGCAGTATCTGTCAACTCAAGTCCCTTAGATATGTTACTCTTTCTGGCTGCTCAAATCTTGAGAAGTTTCCAGAGATTTTAGAAGTTATGGAAGAGCTCTGGTGCCTTTATTTAGATGGGACTGCAATTCAGGAACTACCCTCGTCAATTGAAAATCTTTCCGGGCTGAATACTTTGAAGCTAAATGGTTGTCTAAGGCTTCAAAGTCTTCCAAGCAGCATCTGCCAACTCAAGTCTCTTAGAAATGTTTCTCTTTCTGGCTGCTCAAGTTTTGAGAAGTTTCCTGAGATTTCAAAAGTTACAGAAGGGTTCACTTACCTTTGTTTAGATAAGACAGCAATTAAAGAACTTCCCTCATCAATTATAAATCTTTCCGGGGTCGAATCTTTGAACCTAGAAGGTTGCCGAGGTCTTAAAAGTCTTCCATGTGGCATCTGGGAACTCAAGTGCCTTAGAGATGTCAATCTTTCTCGCTGCTCAAATTTTCAGAAGTTTCCAGAGATTTCAATGGTTGTGAAGGGGTTATGGAGTCTTCGTTTAAATGGGGACTGCAATTGAAGAATTGCCGTCGTCAATTAAAAATCTTACAGAGCTTGTTACTTTGGACTTGAAAGGTTGCGTGAAGCTTAAAAGTCTCCCGAGCAGTATCTGTCAACTCAAGTCCCTTAGATATGTTACTCTTTCTGGCTGCTCAAATCTTGAGAAGTTTCCAGAGATTTTAGAAGTTATGGAAGAGCTCTGGTGCCTTTATTTAGATGGGACTGCAATTCAGGAACTACCCTCGTCAATTGAAAATCTTTCCGGGCTGAATACTTTGAAGCTAAATGGTTGTCTAAGGCTTCAAAGTCTTCCAAGCAGCATCTGCCAACTCAAGTCTCTTAGAAATGTTTCTCTTTCTGGCTGCTCAAGTTTTGAGAAGTTTCCTGAGATTTCAAAAGTTACAGAAGGGTTCACTTACCTTTCTTTAGATAGGACTGCAATACGAGAATTGCCGTTGTCAATTAAAAATCTTAAGGGTCTTGTTTCTTTGAACCTTAAGGACTGCAGAGAACTTAAGAGTCTTCCAAGCAGCATATGTCAACTCAAGTCCCTCAAATATGTCACTCTTTCTGGTTGTCCAAAGCTTGAGGTGCTTCCAAGTATTTTAGAGTATATTCAGGGATTATAGAATGCTTGATTAACAAAGTTGTTTCTGGATCTGTTACAGCTCTTATAAACCTTGGTTTCTTGAATTTCAAAGAAGTTTGGATTTTTCCAAGCATTACTGGAATGAAATCTTTGTAATCTTTGATCTTATTTGCTGCTCAAATATTGGGAAGTTTCCAAGTATTTCAGAAGTTATGAAGGAGAGCAATCAGTGCTCCACCAAATATGTGAGTGCAACTAAGTTTGGTCGGTTGGTTGTTGCTTCAGATCTGATTTTCTATCAACCTGTTGATGGAGTTGTGGCTGATGGAGTTAATGTGTTGTTGATACCTTTGGGGCTGGATTGTCTATTTCTGGGAAAGTTTGGCTGTAGCTGCTTTTGGGGCTATGGAGATGGGTTTTTGTAGTCCTGCTTGATTAGGAATGGAAGACATGGCTCTAGTAGCTTACGAATTGCTCAGTTGGATACCCACAGTTGGTACTCGCACCATGGGAAGTGGCAAGTGGCCGAACCGTTGGGGTTTCATTTTATGCTTTAAGAAACTCTAGAGCAATTGCAACTCTAGCATTTCTTGGGAGAAGGGTTGGGTTTGGCCATCTCCTGTTTGTGGCATTTTCATTCAGAGGACCCAATTTCCGAGCCCTGAAATTCTCAAGCCTGATGTGGCGGGTAAAGGATGATACATTCCTGATCTCTTGGGATTGTTTCCTGTTTCATCATGATTTCCAGATTTCCCTGTTTTATTAAAACATTCCCTTTATGTATTCTTTGTAGATTAATTATACTTGTAAATCAAGTCATTGTACACTATTTAAATCAATGATAATGCACCCTCTAAAGGATCGAGGGATTGAGCCAAAATACCTTCTTTTACTTTTGCTGTCTTGTCTGCAATTCCTCCTTTGAGTTATCTTTTATGGTATCCAGAGCCAGTGACTAACGTCTTTTTTTTTCGGATTCTTACTACTCTTCTCCATGGCTGCCTCAACCAGTTCGACTACTCCTTCCTCCGACATCTTCCCTTCTGTTTCTCATGCGATCTCCATCAAACTTGACTCTTCCAATTATCCTCTTTGGTTGGCTCAGTTGCTACCTGTTCTTCGCAGTCGTCAATTGTTGGCTTTTGTTGATGGTACTTCCATCTGCCCCTCGGCGTTCTTGTCCGACGCTACTGGCAACGCCTCTCCCAAGCCCAACCCCGCGTATGCTGACTGGGTTCAGAAGGACCAGCTTGTTCTTTCTTGGATCAATGGCTCTCTTGGTCACCAGGCCCTCGCCGCCACTGCTCGTCATTCCACTGCCCGTGATGTTTGGGTTGCTCTTCAGCAGCGTTTTGCTTCTACAAACCAAAGTCGCATTCTTCAGCTTCGTACTGCTTTCTTCCAGACCAAATGAGGTGATTCTTCAATTTCTGACTTTCTTGATAAGATCAATGGTATTGCAGATCAATTGGCTCTTGCCGGGGCACCTGTTTCTCCTGATGACATGGTGCCGGTCGTCATGTCTAATGTCGGCCCCAAATTTGAGAACACTGTTGCTGCTGCTCAGGCCCGTGACAAGCCCATCTCCCTTCCTGATCTTGAGGCTCTTCTTCTCGCTGCTGAACTTCGCCTTGCTGATCCTCCTGCTCCGCCGGACTCCAGCGTCTCGGCCCTGGTAGCCTCCCGCGGCTCTTCTGCCTCTCGTGGTCGCTTCTCTTCTGATCGCGGCGGCGATCGTGGCTCTGGCCGTTTCTCACGTGGGGGTGGTCGTCCTCAACATGATGGGTCTCGCAACAATGGTGGTGACGGCTATCGTGGCTATCGCGGTGCTGGTGGTTTCCATGACCGTCCGTTTCGCGATCGTGGTGGTAGTCGTCCTCAGCACGACGACTCTCGCTTCCGTGGCTCCAACAATACTTCTGGGGTTCTTGGTCCAGCCCCATCTCACGGTTCCTCCCGTCCTCGCTGCCAGATTTGCAATACTTTTGGACATGGTGCTCTTGACTGTGCTCAATGCTTTAATTTGGCTTATGAAGGTCGTCCTCCTTCTTCATGTCTCACTGCCTTGACTGCTCAGCACTCCCAGCCTTCGCTTCTTGATTCCGGGGCCAACTCGCATATCACCAATGATCTCAATACTTTGTCTCAGTCCCGCGATTATCGTGGTGGTGATTCCGTCGGTGGTGTCGTTGGAGGTACAGGTTTGCCCATTAACCGTATTGGCTCCTCCACTCTCTCTCATAATAATATTTCTTTCAAGCTTAATGATGTTCTTCATTGTCCGGATGCTTCTACTTCTGTGTTGTCTGCTAATCGGTTTATGTTGGATAACAATTGTTATATTACATTGTTTCCTTCTTGTTTCTATATTCAGGATATGGAGACGGGGACGATTCTTTTTTCGGGCAAGAGTAGCAATGGCTTTTATCCCTTTTCCTCTTCATCACCGACTGCTCATGGTCGTGCTGCTTTTCTTGGTGTTCGTGTTAGTAGTGATGTCTGGCACTCTCGTTTAGGCCATCCATCTTCTTTTCCATTTTTAAAATTTCTTTTTTCTAGGCATTCGAATAAGTTGCCTGTTTCTGGCAACCTCAATCTCAATACTTTTATGTGTCATTCTTGTCCCTTAGGCAAAAGTGTTAAGTTACCTTTTTCTGCATCCTTGTCTGTTACTCACGCTCCTCTTGAGCTTATTCACTCCGACGTGTGGAGTGCGTCCAATAAGTCTGTTAGTGGTTTCCAATATTATGTTCTTTTTGTTGATAATTTCTCTCGTTATTCTTGGATTTATCCCATGAAATTAAAATCTGAAGTTTTTAATATTTTTACTCACTTTAAGACCTTGGTTGAAAATCAATTCTCCACTAAAATTAAGATGTTTCAGTCTGATGGTGGGGGCGAATACACTAGTCATCAATTCAAGCATTTTTTTCTTCACCATGGTATTCATCATCGTCTCTCATGCCCTCACCATCCCGAACAAAATGGTTTGGCGGAACGCAAACACCGTCACATTGTCGACACTGGACTTACTTTAATGGCCCATGCGTCGATGCCTCCTGCCTACTGGGCTGAGGCCATGCACACAGCAGTTTATCTTCTCAATCGCCTCCCCTCTAAAGTACTTGGTTTTATGTCTCCTTATCAAAAGTTGTTTCTTAAAGAACCTGATTATAGTTTTTTTTAAAGACCTTTGGGTGTGCATGTTTTCCCTACCTACGACCCTATAATAATAATAAACTCCAATTTCGTTCTACTAAATGTGTTTTTCTTGGTTAGTCTCTCAATCATCAAGGTTATCGGTGCTTAGACATCTCTACTAATCGCATCTTTTTATCACGCCATGTTGTGTTTGATGAAGGTAATTTTCCTTTCAAGGCCATCTCTGGCTCTCTTGCCCCCGTCCTCTCCGGCCTCGTCTCCTCCTCCTGTTTTTAGAAATCACTGGGCCTCTTCCGCGTGCCCCCCGACTGTCTAGCAGCCAACCGGTGGTTGTGTCCCCCTCTTTGGAGACTCATCAATCCCGTCCATCATCCGACCCACCACAGCCGGCCCTCCAGGTTTACTCCCGTGACCCTCACAGGCGGGTTCTTTCTTTTGCACAAGCAGCCACCCCCTCTGCCGTTCACTCTGATGCGCCTCCAGAGGCTCCCTCTGCTGCTGTACCACCTGCCGTGCCCTCTCCTTTCCCATGGTATGCTCACCAGGTCCAAAAACGGCTTCTCTTAAGCCTCCTAAATATGTTTTTTCTGCTGCCATTTCTTCTACCGGTCGTATTGAGCCTACTTGCTTTAGTCAGGCCAACACTTTTCCCGAATGGCGTACTGCGATGGCCGATGAATTTAATGCACTTCAACGTGCTGGTACTTGGACTCTTGTTCCTCGTACTGCTTCTATGAATATTTTGCCAAACAAATGGGTGTTTCGTATTAAACAGAATTCTGATGGGTCTATTCAGTGGTATAAGGCTCGTTTGGTAGCCAATGGTTTTCATCAGCAACCCGGCCTTGATTATGGTGAAACTTTTAGTCCTGTTGTCAATCACTCTACTATTCGCTTAATTTTGGCTCTTTCAGTTCAGTTTCAATGGCCTGTTCGTCAGTTGGATGTTCAGAATGCTTTTCTTCATGGCTCTTTGTCTGAGGAGGTCTATATGCACCAACCTCGTGGCTTTGTTGATCCACAGTTCCCTCATCATGTGTGCCGCCTTCGTCGTTCTTTATATGGGCTCAAGCAGGCGCCCCGTGCATGGTTCCAATGTTTTTCCACTCATTTGGAAGATTTGGGTTTTCGTCCCTCTACCGCGGATCACTCGCTTTTTACCTATATTCATGGCTCAACTCGTATTTATCTCTTAATTTATGTTGATGATATTTTGGTCACCGGGAATAATCCCTCTCATATTGTCACCCTCATTAAGAATTTGGGGCATCCGTTTCTCTATGAAGGACCTTGGACCGGTTCATTATTTCTTAGGCATGGAGGTGGTCCGCACTCCATCAGGTCTCTCTCTTTCCCAACAGAAGTATGCCACTGACCTCCTTCACCGCACCAAAATGCATGGTGCCAAGCCGGTTCCTACTCCTGCCGTTAGTGGGCGACGGCTCAGTCTTCAGGATGGTGACCCTCTGCCGGATCCTACTGAATACCGAAGTGTTGTCGGCGCCCTTCAATACTTGACTCTCACTCGCCCCGACATCAACTTCGCCGTCAACCAAGTCTGCCAATTTCTTCACCAGCCGACTTCTACTCATTGGGCCGCCGTCAAACGCATTCTTCGTTACCTTGTCGGCACTACTTCTCACGGTCTTATCTACAAGCCTGGTTCATTTCGTCTTACGGCATTTTCCGATGCCGATTATGCCGGGGATCCTGATGATCGGCGTTCCACCGAGGGCTATTGCTTGTATCTGGGTTCCAATCTTGTCTCATGGAGTGCCAAGAAACAAAATGGGGTCTCTCGGTCCAGCACTGAAGCCGAGTATCGTCAACTTGCAATCACCGCTGCCACTCTTTCATGGTTTCGTATGCTGTTCCGTGACCTCCAGTTTCCTCTCCATTGTCCTACACTGTTCTGTGACAATATCAGTGCTATATCCCTTGCTTCCAACCCGGTGTTTCATGCCCGCACTCGGCATGTTGAGGTAGATTACCATTATGTTCGTGAAAAGGTTGTTCGCAAGGAGCTTGATGTTCGTTATCTTTCTACTCATGATCAGATTGCTGACATCTTCACCAAGGGCCTTTCTCTTCCTCGTTTTCGACTTCTGGTTTCCAAGCTTCCTGTACTTGATTGTACTGTCAGCTTGCGGGGGCGTAAAGGATGATACATTCCTGATCTCTTGGGATTGTTTCCTGTTTCATCATGATTTCCAGATTTCCCTGTTTTATTAAAACATTCCCTTTATGTATTCTTTGTAGATTAATTATACTTGTAAATCAAGTCATTGTACACTATTTAAATCAATGATAATGCACCCTCTAAAGGATCGAGGGATTGAGCCAAAATACCTTCTTTTACTTTTGCTGTCTTGTCTGCAATTCCTCCTTTGAGTTATCTTTAGCGGGCACCAGGGATGAACATTTTTCCTTGGACTGGAGAGTTAGGTGCGTCAAGTTTTCCAACAGACCACCGTAGAATGAACTTCAATATCATGCCCTCATGTGTGTCATCGCTGCTTTCCTCAAGGCTAACTACACCTCAAACAGTAAAACAGCAATAAATCTGTCTTGATGACAGCTTATTTTCTTGACAACACATGAAAGCCTCTACAAGATGTCAGCAGCTGAAGTTTCAACTCCAGATGATCGTGGCGGTGAAAACATAAATGCAATGTGAGCTCTCTACCCAGGTTCGATTTATGATATTCAAGCCATCTGGAATTCCTCTGCACCAAAGGCTAACCCCCCCAGTTTTTACCAAATACTCAAACAGGAGTTGCAAGCACTCTCTATAGCTAGTCCAGGGGACATTAACTTCCTGGCTGATTTCAAATGTGTTCCCAGAGGAATACAAAGGGTCTCGTTTTATCCTTCGCAGAACAGTTACTAATGTTCACCGTGCAATTTCAACTTACAATGCCACGGTTTCTCCATTCAAGTCATGTTAAAGTTGAGCATCAGACCCTGATTTTCACCAGAGCTAATCAATAGCCATCTTATAAAATCCCATTCACTACGAGGTCTTGGCAAGCAATTCCCGAGTTTGGAGGCTTGGTATGGAATGATGGAGAGTGCACAGGTGAGATGCCCTGGCTGCCACGATGAATCATGCACTTTATTTTATTTGTTGTTTTTTACTTGAATGAATCTAAATGGGTTTTATTACTCATCTATGTTTCGTCCGGTGGTTAGTTAACCCTCCTCTACTTGCCATAATCTTCTAACCATCGCTGCCTCATGTGCTTTATAAAAAAGAATGGGCGATCCCAAGTCAACTTGCTTAGCAAAGAGGCTGTTTCCACGTCTCATGTGCTGTATAATGCATTTGATATTCCCGGATTTCCCATTGCCTAGTTTCTTTCACGATGCTTAATATACAAAATTTAGATGGAGGAAATGAGAATTTTTAAGCTCAATACCATGATCAATGGATTGTGTTAAGTTTTTTTATCATGAGGTGAATGACAATTTCATTTCATCATCACACTAACTAGTTCTATCTTGATATGTACAAGCAGGAAGGAGAAGGAACTACGGAGGAAGCAAAGAAGAGTAATGTCGCCAGGAAGCTTGAGAAGCATCAGCAAGTTCGCATGCTAAACCCCAGATTGAAAGACAGTTTGGGGGTGAGTGATTTTTGGCTTGCATATATCTTCCCGTCCATGCGAATGTGGCAGGGCAGAGCTGATGACTGAGTTTAATAACTCGTTTTAATACATTCGATTGTATTTGTTTTCTGCATCATCTTATTTTGTTTCGTAAACTAATCTGTCAGGCACATCTTGGAAGGCAAGGAACCTGAGTTTTACATAAACAAGCTTTAGAGGAAGAAGCGAGAGGGTGTTGGCGCTGCTGCATAAACAGTTTGTTGACGCTGATATAATAGCCGTCACCATACATTGATGGCAGACTAATCCCGCTTGTTAAACAGTCCTGGAACTACACAACATCGTACTCTCGATACACAAAATACATTCATGGGAGTTCGAACCCGGATTGAGGGTTTCAGTTGTAATGAATTCGATTCCGCATGTTGTTGGAATCATTTGAAAATCCACGTACTTTACGAGTCAATATGCTCCCTCGGTTCAAAACCGAGAAAACATGGGCTGATCATCATATTTTTTTGGCCCGTTTGAGTCCATGCGTTCCAAACAAAAATGTGGGCCCAAAACAAAATGGGCCCAGAAAATACCTCTATAAAGCCCACCTGTTTGTCCATGAATTTGCATTGCTTCTTCGTCTTCGTCTTCTGAAGACACAGATTATGCGACGATGAGTGGGGGCGGACGAAACGTGAACGGAAACTTAAACGCGGTGTTCTACGCGGAGGCGTATCATCCGATTCAGGCGGGAAGCATAGACGGCACCGACACTCTCCCTCACGACAACGCCGTCTACCGAGCCTTCCTCTGCTCCTCCGCTGGCCTCTGTAACCACACACTCTCTCTTCTCCTCCTTTTTTGCCTTTTTCTCTTATCTCTTCCCCCTTGCTTGTTCTTATTATACTTTGGCCCTGTAACTCTTTTGCTTTTGCAGATGACCCCCAGGGGGACCCCAAACTCCTCGGCGACCCTTATTGTACTCTCTTCGTTGGTCACCTTTCTCATCTCACTACCGAACGCACTCTTCGCAAGGTTCATCTCTCTCGCTCTCTCTCACTTTCTGTTTGGTTGCCCAGAAAATTGAGAAAAGAAAGAAATAGGCAGAAAGTTGTTAAACTGTGACCGGTAGAAACCCAACTAAGTTGAAGTTCTTGGTCTAAAAACGAATTTTGAACTTGGGTTTTCAGGCTATGAGCAAGTATGGCCAGGTCAAAAACTTGCGCTTGGTCAGGCACATTGGTGAGCTTCTTAATTTTGCTTTGAATTCGAGCTCCGTACAAAATTTCACAACATTACAACTACAATGCTCTTGAATAGTAATATAGTATGCATATTGGCTTGCAGAATTTTATGTTTCTATCTACTTTTTTGACACTGTAATGCTATGAGAGTCCATCTTTGTAATTTGATTTGTGCAATTTTTCCAGTAACTGGTGCTTCGCGCGGATATGCTTTTGTTGAATATGAAACCGAAAGGGAGATGCAGCGTGCATATAAGGTGCTCCAACTTTTTGCCCACTCTCTCTAGTCTATACGACATGGAATCTCTTCAATTATTTTCATATATGTAGATGCATGTCTATGTGGCGGGGAATTCTAATTTTACATTCTTGTACTGTTGATGGATTTCGCTTCAAGCATATTGGTATTGGTGTTTGTTCTCATAGATACGTCCTTCTCTCACAAAATTAAATTGATTTGGCTGTGCTTGCTAGTTTTCTGAGAAAAGACATGTGCATATCAATTGTAGGTGGTTGGATAATATACTTCGTAATGGTATGCTTAATGTCTTAAATGTGGATAGACGAGGCAAGCCAAGGAAAAGAAAATAGGGGACAATATGATCTGCATAAGTCATAACATGTCTATGATGAGCTTAGATTAGTTGCTTGTTTGCAGGAAGCTCACCATTCCTTGATTGATGATTCTAAAGTTATCGTTGATTACAACAGACAGCAGTTGATGCCAGGGTGGATTCCAAGAAGATTAGGTCAGTGAAGTTTTTGTATTCTCCTACCTTCAGTTTGCATATGCCTATAGAGGTCAAGTTCATGTGATTTTATTGTTTTACCAGGAGGTGGTTTCTGTGGTAAGAAGGAATCTGGACAGCTTCGTTTTGGAGGACGAGAAAAACCATTTCGAGCTCCCCTGTATGCATAACTTTCTTAATTATGTAATATATTTCGTAAACTTGCAGTGAATTAGATGCAACTCTTTACCTTTTATTTATCTTGGTAGCCAGGCGTCCAATCCCATATGACGAGCTGGAGAGACTTGGGATCCCACCTCCACCAGAAGGAAGATACATGTCACCCTATCAGGTATTTTTCTTCTTTTGGTCCCATTAGCCATGTATTTTCCTCCCTGATTCTGCAGCCTATAGCTAGTAGCAGTTGCTCAAAGCAGTTTAGATTGTTTAGCTTTCGAGCATTATCAGATGTCTCCTCATGGAACTTCTATCACAGAGTCTTTGTTTCTCGTTTGTGTTTGTAGGTCCCGTCCCCACCTAGAAGGAAAGGGAGCTCCATGGATAGAAAAGAAAGTGCCCATGAAAGGTCCATGGACAGGGAAGCGAACATGTGCAGAAGTAGTCCTGTGGAGAACGAAGAAAGGTTTTACAAAAGATCTATTGACCCAGAGGACAGTTCTGTAAGGAGCTCAACTGAGACAGAAGAACACTATCACAACAGGAGCTCGGTTGACAGAGCAGAGCGCTCTCACAGGAGCTCTAGGGATAGGGATGAGCGTGCTTCCAGAGGCACAAGTCCCGTCACCGTGAGAGGTCCACCGGCCGTGATCGCTACTAAGATTTTCAGCTGGATGCAGCAAGGGGTTATGGAAGACCAAGGAGAGCAGTCACTCATGATTTCGTAAGACCCGTCGGGAACGCGAAAGTCACAATATACTCATGAGCTAGTCGTAAACACAAGAAAAAAGAATGTCCAATTTGCTTGACTTTCTCCTTCACAAATTCCCTCTCAACTTCTTCCACCATCGTCGGTTGATTGTGTCAATATGTATCACGTTTTGCTCATTCACATTTAGAAATGTAGGGATCATGCTATGTACAACTGTGTGCATTCAAATTTAGAACAAGAGCTTATGGGATGTATGGAAATTCAAGTCGCCGATTATTTTGAAACACACACAAAAGTAGAACTTGGTGTATACTTTTAACGATACAGAACTACCTTTAAGTTAACATTTCACGAGCAGCCACTTCGTTCTAAAAGACGCTTGGCCCTAATCGGGCGGCGGGGAGGGGTCTAGGCGCCTTGGCTGGGTCTAAGCAGGCGCCTAAGCGGACTAGACGGGTTTAAGTAAATTTATTATATTTTGCTAAGTATCTGTTTATATTTAAAATTTATATAATTTCATCAAAAACTACAAAATAGAAATATATATATATATATATATATATTTTTTTTTTTACTTGAATGAATCTAAATGGGTTTTATTACTCATTTATGTTTCGTCCAGTGGTTAGTTAACCCTCCTCTACTTGCCATAATCTTCTAATCATCACTGCCTCATGTGCTTTATTGACCCTCTACTTACTTACATATCATCGTTGTCAATGTAGAACAACTTGGCCTGAAAATTAGTGTTCACTTCTGAATGGTTGCACTGACTTGTAACTGCGCATAGTTCTTGAATTGCATTGTGATTTGTGAGGGTAGTTTGAATTACATAGTTCATTATCACACTAACGAGTTGTATCTTTATATGTACAAGCAGGAAGGAGAAGGAACTACAGAGGAAGCATAGAAGAGTAATCATGTTGCCAGGAAACTTGAGAAACGTCAGCAAGGTCGCACTCTAGACCCCCATATTGAAGAGCAGTTTGGAGGTGGGAGATTGCTGGCTTGCATATCTTCCCGTCCAGGCCAATGTGGCAGATGTGATGGGTGGGTCTAATAACTCGTGTTACTATTCTCTTGTTGTATTCCTTTGTTTGCATCATCTTATTTTGTCTTGCATACTTTTCGTCAGGTACATCTTGGAGGGTAAGGAACTTGAGTTTTACATGAAGAAGCTCCAGAGGAAGAAGGGAAAGGGTGCTGGCGCTGCTGCATAAACAGTTTGTCGACGAAGCTCTTTCTTTTTTGGCTTTCGATGAGATCCGTTTTAGCTGGAACCTTTTTCATTTGTCTAGGACATATGCTGGTTGCCTGTGTGCTAATGCAAATCTTTCGAGTTTTGCTTGGCATATCCGGTATTTCAAGATTTTGACAATTGTTTTTTGACCAATCACTAGTCAATGTCATTTGATATTTTTGTTGATCAACGACTGTGCGCTAATGTTGGTTGCCTGTGTGCTAATGCAAATCTTTCGTCGATGCTTGTCTGCAGAGTATGTGACTAAGAAAGCAGTTTCTGCAATGCATCCCGTTTCTTTTGACGATGCCATTCTGGTAAAAGACCTACCATGTGAATGTTTTACATGAATTAATTCGTCGTTACAATGATGGTTCAAACAAGCAGGCCACAATTTTTCTCACCACGGTGGAGTGATTACTTTTTAACTAAGTTACAAGACGTAAATTTTTTTTTCTTTCTTTCAATAAAACAATATTGGAGGGCTCATGACTAAATCATGCTATGAGTTAATTATAATTAAATAGGCAGTGGTTTTAAGGTTCGACACCCTAAAACTGATTTAATCTCACTTTATCTTTTGAAACTGAATTTGCCTCACTTTTGTGTCCATGTTGGCAAAGATTTAACAATTTTAGAGGTTTAGGGCAGTTTGAAAATTTCTTACCTCACCAAACAAAGGCTCATTACTATCAGCATGACATGAAATGTCTTGGCTGCCCTTTCATTTGACGTTCATAACGAAAATGGGGTGAAATGACTCGATTTTAGTTGTTTTAGAGGCAAAGTAAGACAATTCAGTTTAAAAATATAAATTAAGACGAAAAATTAATTTTAGAGGGCAAATTAATCAAATATCAAATTTGAAATCAAACTTAAGACTTCTCGCGGACAAACAAAGATAGAATAGTACCATTAGAGCCAAATAGCAAGAGACAATTTTGAGGCAAATCTCTCGCCAATTTTGGTATTACCGTCGAGATTCGGGTGGTGACTTGTTCTTTCTTGAACTGATCGCGCTCATTTGAGATTGTTGTGCTTAAAAAAAAAAAAACAGTTTATTAAAAAATTTGAAACATCAAATGTAAATTTGGTAAAACAAAAAAATGTTTTTTTTAATTGCTGTTAGTGACTGACAAGTGACAGTATAAAAGTATAGAAAAGCAAAAACATGGTCTACCTTGCTTTAAAAAAAAAGGTTTTTTCAATGGTCATTTAATGAAATTTTCAAATAGCAAGTGTAACCTCTTATATTTTACAAAATTACAATCTTTGTCCTTACATTATTCTCTTTGGCAATTTCTTTTTTAATACATTGATATTTTTTATAGGAGTTCTTTAACAAAAAAAAGTTTACTAAACACTCAACAACTTTATTTTACCGTTGTTTATTCTCATAGCTCATGAATAGTTTTTTTTTTTTTTTAAAGTACAGTAATACCAAAGACGAATTTAAATCATATTATTGTTAAATTATAGTGAGACAAATAATAATATCATAATTGACAAAAAAAAATAATAATAATAATATCGTATGTTAAAAAAGGGTGCGTTTGGTACGCAGACGGGACGGAACGAAGGTGTAATTTTTGAAAAAGACATGGGGTATATTTGTCTTAAAATGGTAAAACATTGTGTTCCACAGACGTGAAACAAACCCGTTCCAGGGGGAGGTGGGACGCAAAAACACCCAAAATCTGTCCCGTGGAACAGCCCGTTCCACCCATTTTGGCGCACCAAACGCGGGACGGAACGCCTCGTCCCGTTCCGTCCCGTTCCGTCCCGTCCCGTCCTACGTACCAAACGCACCCAGGCACGGCCCATCACCTTCTCACTCACTACGACAAATGCCACATTTTTTTTCTTCCCTCTACGTTTCATCATTTTCCACGAAGCTCGTTGACCTGCACTCCTCTGTTCATCGCTGATCATTCTCCGTCAATGGCTTCTTCTTCTACTTCTTCTGACTCGTCGTCTTCCTCCGGTCGTCGTCGTTGGACATACGACGTCTTCCTCAACTTCAGAGGCGAAGACACTCGCAGGTCCTTCGTCAGCCATCTCTACAGAGCTCTGTCGTCAGCCATCTCTACAGAGCTCTGGACCAGAAAGCCATCCACACTTTCATCGACGCCGAAGAGCTCCGAAAAGGCAACCACCTCTCCGACCTCCTCACAGCCATTCGAAACTCGAGGGTCTCGATCGTAGTTTTCTCTCCAAACTATGCTTCTTCCACCTGGTGCCTCAAAGAACTCGTCCAAATTCTGGAATGTATGGACTCGGACGGCCAGACTGTGGTGCCCGTCTTCTACGACGTCGATCCGTCTCACGTCCGCAAGCGCAAGAGGAGTTTTGCGGAGGCGTTTGCGAGACACGAACTCGACTCCGCGGCTGAGATGGCGGAGGTGCAGAGCTGGAAGTCAGCTCTTACAAGAGCCTGCAATTTATCCGGCTGGGATTCGCAAAATTACAAGTAATTCTACTTTGCTCATAATCTAATTATAGTTTTGGTTCTTGTTTTCGAATTTCTTGTATGCCAATTTTACTTTCGATTCGAGAAATTACAAGTAATTCTACTTTGTTCATAATCTAATTATAGTTTTGGTTCCTGTTTTCAGATTTCTTATATGCAAATTTTACTTTCGATTCGCGAAATTAGATGTAATTCTACTTTGTTCATAGCTAATTATAGTTTTGGCTCCTGTTTTCGTATTTCTTATTTGCAAATTTTACTTCTGATTCGCGAAATTACAATTAATTCTACTTTGTTCATAATCTATTTATAGTTTTGGATCCTGTTTCCGGATTTCTTGTATGCAAATTTTACTTTCGATTCGCAAAATTACAAGTAATTCTACTTTGTTCATAGTCTAATTATAGTGTTGGTTCCTGTTTTCGTATTTCTTATATGCAAATTTTACTTTCGATTTGCGAAATTACAAGTATTATACTGTTAGAATTCTTTTGTCCCACATCGGCCAGAAGGCATGAGAACAAGCCCCTTACATAGAATTACCCCACTCTAACTATCACTGAGGTTTTTTGTATTAAAACCCCACACTTGACAGATTGAGCAGGTGGCCAAGTGGGGACAGTATCAGTGTTGTTGGAGTGGGCACATGGCCCATCTACCTGAAATTTAAGATCGTATCAGAGCCAGGGGACGGGCCCGTACCACCACGTGAACGGGTGGGTCCCCAAGCAAAGTGACCCATAAAATGGGGTCTGACGTGTGGGGGAGTGTTAGAATTCCTCTGTCCCACATCGGCCAAAAGGCTTGAGAACAAGCCCTTTAAATAGAATTACCCCACTCTAAACCTTTTGTATTAAAACCTCAATTGTATTAAAACCTCACACCTGACGGATTGAGCAGGTGGCCAAGTAAGGACAGTATCGATGCTGTTGGAGTGGGCCCATGGCCCGTCTACCTGAAATTTAAGATACCTTGTTCATAGTCTAATTATAGAGTTGGTTCCTCTTTTCAGATTTCTTGCATGCAAATTTTACTTCCGATTCCCGAAATTCCAGTTAATTCTACTTTGTTCATAGTCTAATTATAGTTTTGTTTCCTGCTTTAAGATTTCTTGTGTGCAAATTGTACTTTGGATTTGTGAAATTACAAGTAATTCTACTTTGTTCATATTCTGATTAGTTTGGTTTCCTAATTTGGGATTTCTTGGATGCATATTTTACTTTGGATTCGTGAAATTATAAGTAATTTTACTTTGTTCAGTCTTAAACTCTTAATTGGTGTTGGTGTTACAGTATTATTGTTTACTATCAAATGCAGCAAGACTTGCTTTGATTCTTTACAGACGAAATGCTGAACTTTTATTTATTTATTCTTAATTTCACAGGGATGATGCAAGGCTTGTTGAAGAAATTGTACAAGATATCTTTGATAAATTGATCCACATGTCGTCAAGTAAAGGCGATGGCTTGGTTGGAATGGATTCCCACCTAGATGAAATGAATTTGCGATTATGTCTTGGCACGGAGGATGTTCGCTTTGTTGGAATATGGGGTATGGGTGGAATAGGCAAAACAACCATTGCCAGAGCTGTTTATGAGGAAATCGCTTGTCAATTTGAAGCTTACTGCTTTCTTGAAAATGTCAAGGAAGGTTTCTCCAGGCATGGTGCAATACATATGCAGGAAGAGCTTTTATCCAGAATATTGAAGGAAAAGGTGCGAAGTTTAGGAACTTTGGATAAAGGTTCCAAGATGATAAGGAAAGGACTAGCTAAGAAAAAAGTTTTCCTTGTTCTTGATGACGTGGACAATATAGACCAAATTGAAGGCTTACTGGGAAAGCAACGTTCATTTGGCTGCGGAAGTAGAATTATTATAACAACACGAGATGTGCAATTACTAAACGGAGTTGATGCAATATATTGGCCCAAGTTTTCAAGTGACAAGGAAGCTCGTGACCTCTTTATGCAATATGCCTTCAGAACAAACCAACCCACAAGAGACCACAAACATCTCACATGCCATGCCATAGAATATGCTCGAGGTTTGCCTTTAGCGCTCAAAGTCTTGGGAGCTTTTCTTGATAATAAAAGTGTACGCGAGTGGGAAGATGTGTTAGAGAAGATAAGGAAAACCCCACACAGGGGAATTCAGGATGTGCTTAGAACGAGTTTTGATGGGCTGGACGATTCGGAGGACATTTTTTTGGACATTGCTTGTTTCTTTAAAGGAATGAAAAATGATTATGCAATAAATATCCTGGACGGTTGTGGCTTCTATCCTAATAGTGGATTAAGAGTTCTAATTGATAGATCTCTCATAACAATATCAGATGATGGCACAATCGAGATGCATGATTTACTAGAAGAAATGGGTTGGGAAATTGTCCGCCAAGAATCTATTAAAGAGCCCGGGAGACGCAGTAGGCTGTGGAGTTATGAAGATGTTCATCCCGTGTTAACTCAAAATATAGTAAGATATAATCATCCATACTGTCCTTTTCATATGCAATTAGTGTAGAAACATGTATTTATTTTATATACGTAATTAAGGTTATGGGTATTTGCACTTACTTAAATTCCCCCATTCTCCATCCAGGCTACAAAAGCTATTGAGAGCATAGTCCTGGACTTGTCAAACAAATCAGAAGAAGTATACTTAAATGCTGAAGCTTTTGCCGGAATGACGAGGCTAAGACTGCTCCGTATCAAATATCATTACCCCTTTAGTGACCATGATTTCATACAACACCTGAGTGGAGACTTAAAGTATCTTTCTCATGAGTTGAGGTGTCTCTTTTGGCATGGCTGCCCCCTAAAGTCTTTGCCATCCAATTTTCACCCCAACAACCTAGTTGACCTTGACATGCAATATAGTAACATCCAACAACTTTGGGAAGGAACCAAGGTACAATCATCTTTTTCATATTTTTCTTTAAAATTGGCTAATTTCTCATTTGCTTTGTTATGTAATCCATGTTTTCCTGGATATTTGGACAGCATTTGGAAAGGTTGAAGTTCATCAATTTAAACCACTCTCATTACCTTGAAAGAACCCCCTACTTAACCGAGGTGAAAAATCTGGAGGAATTATTCCTTGAAGATTGTAACAGTTTATTTGAGGTTCATCCATCCATTTCATCTCTTCAAAATCTTCTTGTTTTGAGTCTAAGAGGGTGCAAAGAACTGAGGAAATTTCCAAGCAGCATTTGTATGAAATCTCTCAAAAGCCTTATTCTTTCCGGCTGCTCTAGTTTTGAGAAGTTTCCAGAGATCTCAGACGTCATGAAGGAACTTTCAAACCTTCATTTAGATGGGATTGCAATTAAAGAACTGCCCTCGTCAATTAAAAATCTTACAGGGCTTGTTACTTTGAACTTAAAAGATTGCATAGAGCTTCAAAGTCTTCCAAGCAGCATTTATTTGAGATCTCTCAAATATCTTAATCTTTCTGGCTGCTCAAATTTGCTAAAGTTCCCAGAGATTTCAGAAGTTATGGGAGAACTCCAGTCGCTTTGTTTGGATGATACTGCAATTGAAGAACTGCCATCGTCGATAAGTAATCTTACGGGGCTTTGTGATTTGAGCCTTATAGGCTGCTTGAAGCTTGAGAAGTTTCCAGAGATTTTAGAAGTTATGGAACAACTCAATTGGCTTTATTTGGATGAGACTGTAATTGAAGAACTGCCATCGTCGATAAGTAATCTGACGGGGCTTTGTTATTTGAGCCTTAAAGGCTGCTTGAAGCTTAAAAGTCTGCCTTGCAGTATCTGTCAACTCAAGTCCCTGAAAGATTTTAATCTTGCTGGCTGTTCAAATCTTGAGAAGTTTCCAGAGATTTCAGAAGTTATGGGAGAACTCAAATGGCTTTATTTGGATGGGACTGCAATTGAAGAACTGCCATCGTCGATAAGTAATCTTACGGGGCTTTGTTATTTGAGCCTTGAAGGCTGCTTGAAGCTTAAAAGTCTGCCATGCAGTATCTGTCAACTCAAGTTTCTGAAAGATTTTAAACTTGCTCGTTGCTCAAATCTTGATAAGTTTCCAAAGATTTCAGAAGTTATGGGAGAACTCCAGTCGCTTTGTTTGGATGATACTGCAATTGAAGAACTGCCATCGTCAATAAGTAATCTGACGGGGCTTTGTTATTTGAGCCTTAAAGGCTGCTTGAAGCTTAAAAGTCTGCCTTGCAGTATCTGTCAACTCAAGTCCCTGAAAGATTTTAATCTTGCTGGCTGTTCAAATCTTGAGAAGTTTCTAGAGAGATTTCAGAAGTTATGGGAGAACTCAAATTGCTTTATTTGGATGGGACTGCAATTGAAGAACTGCCATCGTCGATAAGTAATCTTACGGGGCTTTGTTATTTTAGCCTTGAAGGCTGCTTGAAGCTTAAAAGTTTGCCATGCAGTATCTGTCAACTCAAGTTTCTGAAAGATTTTAAACTTGCTGGCTGCTCAAATCTTGAGAAGTTTCCAGAGATTTCAGAAGTTATGGGAGAACTCCAATTGCTTTGTTTGGATGGTACTGCAATTGAAGAACTACCATCGTCGATAAGTAATCTTACGGGGCTTTGTGATTTTAGCCTTAAAGGCTGCTTGAAGCTTAAAAGTTTGCCTTGCAGTATCTGTCAACTCAAGTCTCTGGAAGATTTTAATCTTGCTGGCTGCTCAAATCTTGAGAAGTTTCCAGAAATTTCAGAAGTTATGGGAGAACTCAAATGGCTTTATTTGGATGATACTGCAATTGAAGAACTACCATCGTCGATAAGTAATCTTACGAGGCTTTGTGATTTGAGCCTTGGAGGTTGCTTGAAGCTTAAAAGTCTGCCACTGATCTATCAACTCAAGTCCCTGGAAGATTTTAATCTTGCTGGGAGTTCAAATCTTGAGAAGTTTCCAGAAATTTCAGAAGTTATGGGAGAACTCAAATGGCTTTATTTGGATGATACTGCAATTGAAGAACTACCATCGTCGATAAGTAATCTTACGAGGCTTTGTGATTTGAGCCTTGGAGGCTGCTTGAAGCTTAAAAGTCTGCCACTGATCTATCAACTCAAGTCCCTGGAAGATTTTAATCTTGCTGGGAGTTCAAATCTTGAGAAGTTTCCAGAGATTTCAGAAGTTATGGGAGAACTCAAATGGCTTTGTTTGGATGAGACTACAATTGAAAAACTGCCATCGTCGATAAGTTATCTTACGGGGCTTTGTTATTTGAGCCTTGAAGGCTGCTTGAAGCTTAAAAGTCTGCCGTGCAGTATCTGTCAACTCAAGTCCCTGAAAGATTTTAATCTTGCTGGCTGTTCAAATCTTGAGAAGTTTCCCGAGATTTCAGAATTTATGGGAGAACTCAAATGGCTTTATTTGGATGGGACTGCAATTGAAGAACTGCCATCGTCGATAAGTAATCTTACGGGGCTTTGTTATTTGAGCCTTGAAGGCTGCTTGAAGCTTAAAAGTCTGCCATGCAGTATCTGTCAACTCAAGTTTTTGAAAGATTTTAAACTTGCTCGCTGCTCAAATCTTGAGAAGTTTCTAGAGATTTCAGAAGTTATGTGAGAACTCAAAAGGCTTTATTTGGATGGGACTGCAATTGAAGAACTGCCATCGTCGATAAATAATCTTACGGGGCTTCGGATTTTGAGCCTTAAAGGCTGCTTGAAGCTTAAAAGTCTGCCATGCAGTATCGATCAACTCAAGTCCCTGATATATACTTTTCGTAGTGACTGCCCAAATCTTGAGACACAGAACTTACCGAATTGAGGGTTTCAATTGTAATGAATTCGATTCTCTATGTTGTCGGAACCATTTGAAAACCCACATACTTTTTGAGTCAATATGCTCCCTCGGTTCAAAACCGAGAAAACATGGGCTGATCATCAGATTTTCTTGGCCCGTTTGAGTCAATACGTTGCAAACAAAAATGTGTGCCGGAAACAAAATGGGCCCAGAAAATACCTCTATAAAGCCCACCTGTTTGTCCATGAATTTGCATTGCTTCTGAAGACAGACAGAGATTATGCGACGATGAGCGGGGGCGGACGAAACGTGAACGGAAACTTAAACGCGGTGTTTTATGCGGAGGCGTATCATCAGATTCAGGCGGGAAGCATAGATGCTACTGACACACTTCCGCACGACAACGCCGTCTACCGAGCCTTCCTCTGCTCCTCCGCCGGCCTATGTAACCACACATTCTCCTTCACGAGCAGGGTAAATGTTTTCATCCATATGAATCGATTTGATCGGTTTGGTTTGATGAAGGTCAAACAATTTAAATACCGAAATAAACCAATTTATGTTCTGTTTGGTTCGTTTTTCATATTTTTGAAGAAGGGGAATTTTCCAAATGTCATGTCAACTTACATTTTCAATGTCATATAAATTAAAGTTTAAGCGATTTATGCCAATTTTTTAAAATCATTAATTTGTTCTCACCCAACCTTCGTTTAATTTTCCATCTAAAATAAATTGCACATTACCATGTGTTCACGGTTATTTCAATCTTTTCCACACCTCACTCTCCTAATAAGTTGTCTTCCACAACAAAAATTCTAGATTTTCTCAAAAAATACAAAGAAAGAAAAATTGATTTATCTGTTATACGATGATCTAAGAGTTTGCCATTCATAAAAAAAACAAACAACTTTCACTTATCTCTTTCCATCCAAAATAATTTCTCTATATTAAAATATTTGAAATAACTCTATATTTAAATTATGTGCAAGTCACATGACTTGAAAAACTTAACAAAATATGGATAAGATAACTAATAATAATTTCAAAAATTTAGTATGTAAACTTAAACAAAACATGGATGAGATGACGATTAATAATTTTAAAAAATTAATATGACAAGACGAGAATTGAACAAATGTTTATAAATTCAATGACATTTTAGAAGTATAAGTGACTCTACTACAGTAGTAAAAAGGAGTTGTATGGTCACAAGTACAAGTGTTTATAAATTCAATGACATTTTAAACCCGTCACTGACAGTATTCTACTTGAAAAATGATCATGCTGCTTCATCCCCGGACCTCTTACTCAGGTAACGGGTGTTCTGTTTTTTTTTTTTTTTTTTTTTTCCTATTGTGTAGGTCTTCAGATCTCTTTTATGGTCACAAGTGCTTCTGCCGTCTTTAGGAAGGGTATTTCTTGAAAGTCGAACACACCTTGAAAAACAATAGAAGCAAACACTTCTCAAATACGCTTATATGGTGCAAAAGCACTTTTATTTACAAGCACTTTTTAACTGTCAGAAGCACATTTAGCCACAAACATTTTGACAGATCCCAGGCTTTACATTACTAATCTTGTTCAAAAATGCACACAACCTCAAATTTTGTTTCAATTACATGACAACCTCAATCAAGCCTTGCTGTCGATGGTCATCGGCACCGGCTCCTGCTTGTTCATTTTTGCAAATATGTTGCCGTAGAACTGCGCGTCCTTCTTGTTGTACTCTCTCACTTTCTGCTTCAATACCTTATACTCCTGTTTCACATCCCTGAAAACACATAACCGCAATCCCACACAAGTTAATCGACACACGAAACACAAAAACGACACAACTCATCAATGAACCATCTCAAACGAACAAAACGACACAACTCATCAACGAACCTGTTGTCGGGGTCTATCTCAAGGGCCTTCTTGATATCCAGCTCTGCTAAGTCCAAATCCACAAGTTGGATATACGCTTGCGCCCTCCTGTACAAAGCCTTAACATTCCGGCTGTCTAAATCCAAAACCTGCATATCAATGCTCTCACACATTAGAAGAGAAACAAACTACGCTACCCTCGCACTTGCGCGGAGATATGGGAAACCGGCGAGCCTTGTACCTTTGTGCAGAGCTTCTCAGCCTGCTTGTAGTCCTTGAGTTTCAGCTTGCACGCAGCATCATTCAGATTGCAGGTTATTTTCAGCGCCTTCGCCTGCTGCTTCTCCTCGTCGCCGAAAGTGGAGTCATATTCGATAAACCTCACAGCCTGTCACCGAAAATTAGAGGTTTTTATGAGTTGCCATAAACGTCTAAGTAAAATCTGTTCACTGAAGCAAGAGGCAAGACTCTTGCCAGACCACCGGATATACCTTTTCGTATCTCTTGGAGGCTCTTTCGTATTTACCAGCCTTGAAGAGTGCATTCCCTTCTTCCTTCTTCTTCCCAGCGCTTTCGATTTTTTCTTGTGTGTTCATGTCCCAAGACTCCTTGTCCTGCAACCAGTGAAGTAAGTTAGTCCGGCTTAATTCACAACGGGGAACGGGGACTGCATCGAGGGGGACATATCATACTTACCTTGACAAAGGAGACCAGCTCCACCTCATAATGGACCGTCGAATTTGCAGGAACCACAGCCAAATCTTGTGCTGATTCGGTCGACCCGAATGCATATTCTGGTTGAATGGTCACAAGAGCCCCTTCACCTTTCTTCATGTTCTTCACAGCTCTATCGAGTCCCTCAATTACTTGCTCTGCAAACAATCAATACGTCTCAAGTTTTCCTGTTTAGGAATTTTAACTCAATAGTTTCAGAGAAACGATGTCGAAAGGACATGATTACCTTCATCCGTCTTGAACTCGAATGGCTCGTCATCATGGCCCTTCTTTGTGAAGATCGTGCCATCAGGCAACTTCCCAACAAGTTTCACTGCCAGACCAAAACAAATACAGAAAATTTAACATCCGCGAACATTAAGAATGTAATTACCTACGAAATTTTATGCATCGCTAGTATTACCTTTAACAACCGCCCCATCATTCGGGCGCTCATACCCCTCTCCCTCCTTCAATGTCTTTTTGAGGACCTTCTTATCTTTGGTAACATCAGAAACCGTCTTCCACGATACCAACTCGAGCGCTATCTCAAGGGTCGCATTTGGCGGCACTGCGCCTTCATCCCCTATAGCTGGCCTGCCCGCCTCTCCAAATCCATCTACAAAATTATAGCCGTTAAGTTTTCATCTTGTGAATTAAAATTTGAATACTCTCAATAAATTAAGCAATCAAGAAGTAAGCATATGGGCACAGGACTCACATTGTGGCTTTACAGTCAAAAGGACCTTTTCGCCTTTCTTCATTGTTTTCACAGCTTTTGCCAAGGCGGGGCAGAAATAGCCTGCAATCAAAGAGGTTTCACACACAGATTCTTCGGAAAAAAAGGATTCTTTGCGTCGCAAGTAAACATATGAGATAAGGCCATGAAACTAACCATCCTGGACAGTAAACTCGACCCCATTGGATTTCGAAACAAGAGTCCCATCTTCAAGCCGAGCCTCGTACTTAACTGAGATACCACCAAGGAATTGTGTAAGAAACCAATGAGTTTCAATGCCATTCATCAATTTTCAGTCATTGGAAAATAGTGTGGGAAAGACAATGTACCAAACACTTCGTCAAGGTCTTTCGGATTCTCCCATTTCTCTCCTTCGGTGATAATTTTCTTCATAACTCCGCCGTCCTTGAGAATGTCCTTCACACTCGTCCAGGAAAGCAACTCCACATCGAACTGAAGTGTGGCATTCGGAGGAATCGTTGGAGGGGATCCAGACTCACCGTAGGCCAACTCAGGCGGTATGGTGAAAACCGCATTTTCGCCCTTCTTCATGGTTTTGATTCCTTCATCCCATCCCTTAATCACTTGTCCTGAAATTAACCAATTGAATCATAACCCAAAAAAGGGCTCAGTAAGACTTGAATCAAGAATTGCTCCATTGGGACTGAAAGGTCACGAATTTGAGCCGCAAAAACAGCCTCTTCACAAAGCAAGAGTAAGGCTGCGATAAATGTTCCCCAACCCTCACAAAGCGAGAGCCTTGTTGGCTTATAGTCGCCCTTTATATATATATATGAACACAATTGAAAACAATGATAAAGTGGAAATGAATCAATCACCTTGTCCGAGATTGAACTTGAAAGGGGTCCCACGGTCACGGCTCGAATCGAATTTCGTTCCGTCCAGCAGAGTCCCAGTGTAATGCACTGCAAAATTATCACCAGCCAATTAGTACCAACGCTCGCCATCAAACCTCACACATATATTTATATGTATGTATGCGCGCGCGTGTGTATGTATATATATTTATACCTTCAACTTCGTCGCCGGAGCCGGGAGTGTCCCAGCCTTCACCTTCTTTAAGGAGCTTCTTCTTGAGGCCGTTCTTCCCGATCTCCTTCTCATCACCAACCTTGAGAGTTGGGCTAGTTGCGTCGTCCTCGGCGTCGGGAAGGTCCAAGTCACCGGCGTCGTTGAGGTTGTTGGTGGCAGCTGAGAAATCAAAGTCGTCTTCCATGGCAACTTCCTGACCGGATTGCAGTGGGAGCTTGATGTTAAATAAGCAAGCGCGAAACAGAGCAGTGAAGAGAATGCAGAGCTTTTTCGAATTGCGGAGATGCAGAGAGCTTGCCAATGGAATTTATAGAGAGAGAAGCAGAGGAGAGAGAGAGAGAGTCTAGAGAGTTCTGAAACGTGACATGGTCAGGATGGTTCCAGAATTATCTCCATTTTTGACGAACTTTGTTAAGATACAGTCTTGCAATAAAAAAATAATTATTCCATTAAAAATAAATAAATATAAAAAAATTAGTTTGGGCTCCAATCCGGTTCATAATTTGAACCGTATATATTTTAGGTTATAATTGAAAGATCATCTCAACAAACTTTTACACAAATTGAAAGACGTTTAATTATTTAACTCTGACTTGGTAAATACAGAGAACACAATGGTAGGTGACAATTGTGATTGTAGTGGTAGTGGGGGGTGGCGACATCGATGATAGTGGTAGTTGTAATGGTATCGATGATAGTGGCAGTTGTAATGGTAATGATGGTGTGTATGGTTGTGGCGGTATCAAATTGGGACTTAGTAGATTAAACTTTTTTTTTTTACTATTTAATTTTAAAATGGATTAGGTTTTTTGTGAAAACAAGCAATACCAAACTGGAACTTAATAGATCAAATTATCAAATGTTAGGGAAGGAGAATCGATGGAGATCAAACTTGTACTAGAATGCATATTTTCTTCCACTGCAATAAGGCGTCATTTACAGAATTATTGTATTTTTACACTTTGTTATCTACAAAATTAAATTTCAATTTGAATTAGCAATTAAATTTTCTATCCAAGAATTTAAAAGAAAAAAAAATTACTATTATTAGGCGATTGGGGAAAGTTCAAAATTATCATAATAATGTGAAAAAGATACAAGAATTTCGAACTCGAAACGCATGAATAAAAACCCAACATCCTATCCATTAAGAGACCACATGCTTCTATCCAAGATAATACTTGAGAAAGGAGACGCTCCTGACTACCAATTTAAAGGTTAAACCATATCCGTATTTGTCCTAGCCTAGTGCACGGGTGTTGTTGTATCGATGTTGAATATGTATCATGAACATGTTGCAACGTTTTGTCAGCAACATCGACACAAATAATATCAATACCATATCGAAATTCGATCTTTAACCGACTTTAATTTTTTTACGGCAGCAAATCAGCAGTGCAGGGTGTAGGATTAAGATTCGAGTTACAGATGTTCAGGTTCAATTCTTCCTGTGTACCGAAAATAAAATTACATACAAAAACAAACTGTTCTTCATGAAGAAAAGCGATCGCAAAGTTGAAAAGCAAACAAGCGTAAAAACTTAAAAAGCATGCAGCATGTATCAAAATTTCAACAAAATCTCCTCCGCTCGTCTCTGCATTAACAAATTTATATCCACAAAGGCCAAATCCGTCGTCCATCTGTTCTGCCATAATGATAATAGGAACATTTTTTCAAAAGAAACCAAGTAGGGCACCTAAGTTTTTTCCAAAACAGGTCTCTTGTTTCATTGAAAGTGATAGGGTATTTTTAACTGCCCTCGTAGTTTAAATCCAAGTTTTTCACCAAATGGTCTACTCTTAATGTGCTCGCACAGGACCATTATCCAATTTTGCCTAATTCCCCAGATCCATCGAATATAGGTCATTCAATTGCACACAATTAATGGAGCCTGCATCATAACCGCTAGTTTCCAAAAATTTCACAATGATAATGAATGTGTGGCCGAGCCAACAGTGATAAATGACAGCAGGGTCCGTGTATCTCCATCGGCACCCGGATGCAGTGTTAAATGAGCAAGGGGCCATAGAAACTTCTTTTCCGAACAGACTCCACTCAAAGTTGTTTGGGAGCATATGCTCCTATCAACTTACGGGACAACACAAGAAGTACTTTGATCCATTTAGACGGAGGAGGTGAAGAAGCTAGGACAGAAGGGTAGAGTTCAAAGAGAAAATGCGTTTAGGGCGTGAAAGGAATATAGGAACCTAAGGGAAAAACATGGAAGTAGTGGAAAATATGGTGAAGGGAAGATAAATATTATGTGCCTACAAGAAAATAAGGTGGTTGGTAGTAAAGGCAAAGGATCAGAAAACTCAGGGTTTAAACTTTGGTATTCCGCGCACAAATAGAAACGAGGGTGGGGCATCAATCGTGGACAAGACCTTGACACACAAATGTTGTAGATGTCAAGAGGGTAGGAGATAGAATCATGGCAATCAAGATTGTAAGGACAAGAAGTTATCAATGTGATTAGTGCGTACGCACCTCAAGTAGGGTTGGATAAGAGTTCGAAGGAGAAATTTTGGAAGACCTTGGAGACTTGGTGCAAGGAATTGCTCAGACGGAAGAAGTTATTATAGGAGGAGATTTAAATGGACACGTGGGCAGGGAGACAACAGGCAACTATGGAGGTTTCAGGTGGCCATGGTTTTTGGGGAGAGAAACGAGATGGGGAAGCTATCTTGGATTTTGCAATGGCATATGATCTCTTCTTAGCCAACCCTTCTTTAAGAAGAGAGAAGAAACATGTTATCACCTACAAGAGTGGGTCGTCAAAAAACACAAATAGATTTTCTCCTAATGAGGAAAGGAGATCGTTATAAAACTTGTAAGGTGCAATATCCAGGAGAGAGCGTGGCTAATCAACATCGCTTGTGGTGATGGATGTACAATCAAATGAGTGAGACAAAAAAAGAACAAGACTTGGAAGTGCCCAAGGACTAGATGGTGGAATCTAAAAAGAGAAAAAAAAGTCAATATTCAAAAAGAAAGTAATCACCAGTGTGTGTGGGATAGAGAGAGGGAAACTAGCCAAATGTGGGATTCCATGACTAGTTGTATTCGAAAAGTAGCAAAAGAGGTATTAGGAGAGTCCAAAGGTTTTGCCCCACACCAAAAAAGGGAATCTGGTGGTGGTGGAATGAGAGGTACACAAACAAAGGTGAAGGCTAAGAGGAATGTTGTAAAGCCTTATACAAGGATAGGACCGATGAAAATGTGAAAGGTATAGAAAGCGAAGCAAAGCGAAGAAAGCTTGAGAGAAGCTAAGTTAGCGGCTTATGACGATATATTATAAAGCCCGATACCAAAGAGGAGAGTTGGATATTATAAATTAGCTAGAGCAAGGGAAAAGAAGACAAAGGACCTAAACCAAGTGAGGTGCATCAAGGATGAGGATGGAAAGGTTCTTGCTACAGAGAACGCGGTAAAGACAGATGGAAAGGTTATTTTCATATCTTTTCAATGAAGGACATGAAAGGAGTTGCTTCTTTAGGGGAGTTGAGTAACTCAGAAGAGTGTAGAAACTACTTTTTTATTAGATCGTAGAATCCGGAAGGAAGAAGTGGTTGTAGCTTTGAAGAAGATGAAGCATAGAAAAGCCTAGGCCCAGACGATATACCATCGAAATGTGGAAAGTTTTGGGAGAGACAGGTATACATGGTCATGACCTTTTTAATAGGATTTTGAAAATAAAGATTTTGAAAACGAAGAAGATGAATAGTGGCGAACACTTTGGTGCTATCTACAAGAATAAGGGGGTGACGTACAATTGCAATGAATGAAATAGGGTATTAAGCTAATGAGTCATACAATGAAGCTCTGGGAGAGAGTCATGAGCATAGATTTGAGGCAAGAGACACGGTTTCGGGACAACAATTCGGTTCATTGCCTAGGGCGCTTGAGCATCTATCTCTTACGAAGATTGATGGAAAGATATAGAGATGGGAAAAGGATTTACACATGGTCTTTATAGATTTAGAAAAAGCGTATGATAGGGTCCCAAGAGACATTCTTTGGAGGATTAAGGAAGAAAGGAGTACGAGTTAGATATATCCAAGCATAAGGATATTATGAAGGAGCAAGACTGCCGTAAGAACTCATGAACGACAAACCGAAAGCTTTCCCATAACTGTAGGATTACATCAAGGCTCATCCTTAAGTCCTTACCTTTTGCGTTGGTAATGGATGAGTTAACAGGACATATTCAAGATGATATTTCCTTGTGTATGCTTTTCGCAGACGATATAGTGTGTTGATAGATGAAACTCAGAAGGGGAAATGCAAAGCTTAACCTTTGGAGAGAAGTGTTGGAATCTAAAGTCTTCGCCTAAGCCGATCAAAAAGACAGAATATATGGAGTGCAAGTTCAGTGCAAATGGAGGCCAAAACGAGTTAAGGGGTGAGGATCGGAGATCAGAAAGAAATACCAAAGAGCGAACGTTTTCGTTACCTAGGATCTATCTTGCAAAAGAACGGAGAATTAGATGGAGATCTCTCAACCATAAAATACAAGCTGGATGATGAAGTGGAAGAGTGCTCCGGTTGTGTGACCGCCTTGTGTGACCTGTATATGAAAGGGAAAATTTTATAGGACGACAATAAGCCAGCGATGCTGTACTGGCACAGAATGTTGGGGCGGTGAAGCATCAAACATACAAAATATGGTGTGATGAGGATGCTTCGTTGAATGTGGGCACACGAGAAAGGAAAGATTAAGAATGAGGAATCCGGGTAAAGTAGGAGTAGCCGAAATTGAAGGCAAGATGAGAGAAAATCGTTACGGTGGTTTGGACATGTGCAACGAAGGCCTACTGACGCTCCGATTAGAAATGCGACTATGGGAGAGGTTCAGGGCCGAAGGGGTAAAGGAAACCTAGGAAAAACTTTGGAAGAGACTCTAAGAAAAGACTAGAGACTTGGATCTAACGAAGGACATGACACAGGACCCGAGACAATGGCGTTCTAGAGATTCTATAGCCGATCCCACTCAGTGACTTGGATTTCCAAGTCTCCAATCGAGAAGTTTTCCTCACTCGGGAAATTAAGGAACACACCCCAACCTACATGCTCCACTCAGAAAGCTTCAACATACAAGCTTTCAACAAAAAAACCAAAGAACTTAGCGAAAAAGGTGTTGGTGTATTAACACAATACGTTTGAAATGAAGGAAAACTTATTTATTGATATCCCCGATAAGCTACAAATGTGTACATATACAATCAAAAGTAAACAAACAAGAGGGAGCCTTCACAAGGGTTGCTTAGGAAGTCTCAGCAGTCGGTAGAGCCCAGAAAGAGAAGGCACCGGAGGGGGATCATTCGGAACCTCAGTACTGGACAGAACCCTA